GTCTGTGGCATGTGAGAGCTACACCAGGCACACAGATCATCAGTCCCAAAATAGTGCTTTCATGAAGAGCTTGGAATCTATGGAAAGCAGAAGGATTCAAAAAAGGAGTGGGCAGAATAGCATATAAAAATATATTCAGAGTTCAGTTTCTAAGGTATTTTTCAGAACTGGTTTCACTGCAAAGCAAACAGTGATGGTGAGCATTTAAATAAATTATTGGTGTCTGTCCATATAATCTCCTCCAGTGTTAGACATTCATTTTAGCAGATCAAGCTTTTCATTGCTAGTTATAGCAAAAGGTGTACCTCATGCTCTCCTCTGTTCTGTCTTCATTTCTAAACTTTTGCACAGTAGATTCATTGGAAATATTCTCCAGAAACCTCAGGAAGTTGATCATGAATGTGTACAGCTGGAATGCTTATAATTTGGGGGGGATGGGGGGAACAATTATTTAAAGAAACAATTCCTGTATGGGGACCAAGCATCCAGAAGAGTGATTTTTTTTTTAAAGAGTTCGCCAAGAAATGAAGCTACTTAGATGTATATTTCATGCCTAGCCAAACATATGTTGCCAGGAAAATAATTGTGTGTCTGGAAGATCTTGTAAGTTGACCTTTTCCACAGCTCTTAGAGGTGTGATGATATTGCTCTTTTACGATAAAGAAGAAGGGAGGAAGGCCCCAGAAAGAGAAGCTGCAGTCAGAACTCATCTGGTGACTTGGCTGTGCTGATACCTTCATCTCGTAACATAGTGATTAGAGTTCTGGCTCAGTAGCAGTTGTCAACTGGATTATTTTTGTCAAGCTACTGGGTTGGGTTCGTTTGTGAGAAGGTGCTGTTGGTTAACCATGCCCTTTTGCGTCCACCCCCGCTGCAGGTGCCCTGGTGGACCAGGGTGTCTTCGAGGAGCTGGCCCGGGACTATGTCCCGCAGCTCTACGACTGCATGCAGGACCTGGGCGTGATCTCCACCATCTCCCTGTCCTGGTTCCTCACCCTGTTTCTTAGCGTGATGCCCTTTGAGAGCGCAGTGGTGGTCGTCGACTGTTTCTTCTATGAAGGAATCAAAGTGATATTCCAGTTGGCCCTAGCTGTGCTCGATGCAAATGTAGACAAGCTTTTGAACTGCAAGGACGACGGGGAGGCTATGACCGTTTTGGGAAGGTATTTCTCACCTTGAAAGCTACCTTTGGCTTTTCTTCTCTGTACTTTTCATCTGTCTTTCTCCTTGGTTCTGTGAGTCTTATTTGCCCTGATGGTTATCATAGGGCCCACTTCTCTGTGTGGTTGAAGATTGTTTTTTTTTTTTTTCTTTGACTTTAGATGTGAAGACAGTTAACTATACTTCAGTTTAAAAACATAATAAAATTTTAAAAAGAAGTGAAGGGATTTTCATTCACTCTTAAGGAAATTCTAGTCTTCTGATAGGGAGAGTTTGCAGAAAATCGGTGGACAGCTATAAATGGGGAATTCCAGATTCGCCTCCCAGTGACTCGGGATTCCGTTCTTCTTCAGGTATTTGGACAGCGTGACCAACAAAGACAGCACGCTGCCCCCCATCCCTCACCTCCACTCGCTGCTCAGTGATGACGTGGAGCCCTATCCCGAGGTTGACATTTTCAGACTCATCAGAACTTCCTATGAGGTAGGTCTGCCTGGGGTCACCACACTCGGCGTGCTCAGAGGGCCTCCGCTGGGTGTGCGCCACACGCTTCCATTGCTAACCCGGGGGTCCCCTGCCTCCCTCCTGGTTCTGAGAACTGGTTGTCGAAGCAGGCAGCTCTCTACCAGCTGACAGCTTTGAGCTTCAGAGAGGGCCATTGAATGAATGGGCCAGACACCACGGAGTGATTGCATGACCCGCTCAGGCCTCCGATTCTTGGCTTTGCCCACCTTGTAGGCTGATCAAGGAGAGGCTCGTTTTCAGCTCTGGGTGGGTTGAGGAGGGGCTGCTGAAAGCAGGCTTGGGGAGGTTGATCTTCCCTGTGCTCATGCCAAGTCCTTGGGTCTCCTGGGGAGTAGACGAGCCAATCCTCTTATGGGGGGAGCACATAGAATACTCTCTGCTCCCAGAGAAGAGCCAGACTTCTAGGATTCCTCTCAAATTGCTCGGCCCGGGGTGGGGAAGGTATGTTCTGATCCACAGTGACCCCAGTTCTGGTTCTGAATTCCACAAAAGAGCTAATGGTGCTGTGTACCTCATAGCACTTGTGGTTTCTGGCATTCCGAGGACTCAGGACCCATAATACCTGTGGTTTGTTCCTTTCCTGATCACTGAGGAAGAGCATGAGTATTTTGCTGGGCACACCAGGTCCTCTCTAGATGTTTTGGGATCGTGTGACTGATGATTGTCAGCATTCCAGCTAGCAGCAGCTTGGATACTAGAGAGATGGTGACCTCCAGCTGAGGTCAGAAATCTCTGTTAAAGAGAATTAAAAAAAAAAAAAAATAGGTGCTTTAAAAAAAAATTGGTATGGATCCAGACACGTTTTCAGAAATGTGTGCCCTTAACTCAAAATACAAGAAAGTCTGATAATTTATTATTTCAGAAAATTTTTGTTAGCACTCCATACATATTAAAAACAAAACATTTGGGGTGTGTTTTAGCATGATGAAAGTAATGCATGCTTATTGTAAAATAATGTAGAGACTGAACGCATGTGAAAGAAAAACTGCATCCTGTGAGCATCTCACCATATCTCCCTCCAGTGTGTTTCTATATTTGCAATTTAGTACAAGTATCTGCTTATAAGTGCTTTGTAACTTCCCATTTTTGACTTAAAATACATGACAAACGTTCTCTGATATTTAATATATTGTTTGTTGGCAAGTTTTCATAGAGTCTTAATATTCTGCTTTAATGAGATGCCAAACCTTATTTAGCTGGTCCCTTTCGTTGGACATTTACTTCGATTGCTTCCAAATTTTCAGTACCATATTGGCAAAATTGTATGGTATTATTATGTATATGTAATATGTATGCCACTATGTATTATATAAAAGTTTCTACACAAATAGTACATCTCTGACTTTTTTTTAAGAGTCCATTCTTAGGAATAGATTTCCAGTAATAGATCAAAAAGTATTAATTATTTCCAAGCTCCTGGC